AATCATCATCAACATCATCATCAGCATCATCATAATCGTCATCATCATCAGCATCAGCATCAGCAGCAGCATCATCGTCATCATCATCATCATCGTCATCATCAGCATCATCATCATCTTCATCATCATCATTATCATAAGCATCATCAGCATCAGCATCAGCATCACCATCAGCATCAGCATCAGCAGCATCATCAACATCATCATCATCAGCAGCAGCATCATCAGCATCATCAGCATCGCCATCGGCATCGTCAGCATCATCATCAGCATCATCAGCATCGCCATCGGCATCATCATAATCAGCATTCTGATCATCAGCATCATCATCATCAGCATCATCATCATCGTCGCCAGTATCCTCAGCATCAGCATCATCAGCATCATCATCAGCATCGCCATCGTAATCATCAGCATCATCATCAGCATCATCACCATCATCAGCAGCATCATCATCAGCAAAAGCATCAGCATCATCTTCATCATCTCATCGTCATTATTATCATTATCATCATTATCATCTTCATCATCATCAGCATCACCATCATCCGCATCACGCTGATAAGCATCATCATCAGCATCATCATCCTCATCATCATGACCATCATCATCAGCATCAGCATCGTGGTCATCCTCAGCATCCGAATGGTCATCATCCTCATGATAATCATCATCATCGTCATCATCATCATCGCCATCAGCATCATCATCATTAAAATTATCATCAGCATCATCATCAGCATCATCGTCATCATCATCAGCAGCAGCATCATCGTCACCACCACCATCACCATCGCCATCACCAGCATCATCAGCATCATCATCATGCTCATCACCATCATCACCATCAGCATCATCATTGTCGTCGTCGTCGTTATCATCATCGGCGTAGTCCTCGTCGTCGTCGTTGTCGTCGTCGTCGTCGCCGTCATCGTCGCCGTCGTCCTCCTCCTCCTCCTCCTTCTCCTCGTCGTCGCCGTCAGCGCTATCATCCTCACCCTCCAGGGGTTCGAAGATCGAAATTCCGGAACGCGATCGGGCGCTCCGGCGGGCCCTCTGTGGGGCAGGAAGCGGTGCACACGACTCTCCTGCCAGGTGGGGGCATCGTTCCGTCCACGCTTCGGGCTTCGAGGGGGGGAGACGAGGAGGAGCGAGGAGGCAGGAGGCGGCGGAAGGAGGGAGGAGGAGGACAGGGGACGGGGAGGCCGGAGGTGGGAGGACGGAGGTAGGATGGACAAGGGAGAGGGGAGGAGGGCAAGCGAGGTGCGCTCGCGCCATGTCTGACATCCTACCCCTCCCACCCATCCCTTCCCGTTGCGCTGATGCTTCTTCATCCGCCGACGGGTGTCATAGCGGACCTGGACTTCTAGAAAGGGCCTCATCGTGTTATGCGCCGTCAGAAAAGAGGAGCTGTGCACGTTGGAAGACGAGGACCAGAACGCACGAGGAGGAGGAGACGGATGAACAAGAGGTGAGTGGGAGAAAGAGGATGAGGCCAAGGAAGGAGTAGGACGAGGAGGAACAGCAGCAGCAGGAGCAGGTGGACCGGGAGCAGCAGGAGGAGGACCAGTGGAAGGCAGAGGGGGGAAAGGAGCGGGGCGACAACAACGATGAAAAAGTCAGTCCAGAATTGTGGCCCACGCTGGGAAGAGAGAGCGCCAATTGCAACAGCGGGAGCAAAATGTCGATCCCCAAACGAAGTCAACACTGCAATGGGAGCCCCACATTGAAACTCTGGTAACATTCCGACGGATAACAAAAAAGTGTTGAGAAAACCGTCGAGCCTCACCTACTGCGGCGCATCGCGACTCCCAAGCCGTCGCAACAATGCAGCGGGGGCAGAGGGGCGGGAATGGGCAGAGCCCCGATCTCGATCTCTGCTACGGCCCCGCCTGCGGCGGCCTTCCTGAACGTACCCCGCAAAGCGCCCTGCCAGATCGAGTCCTAATACATTCGCTTCCTCTTTCTCCTAAAGAGCATAGAGGAAGGAGGAGAAGGAGTGAGACGGAACACGGGCAGAAGGAGTAGGAGGAGGAGGAGTAGGAGAAGGAGGAGGGGGGGAAGGAGGAAGAGGAGGAGGAGGTGGAGGACTGAGGAGGCGGATGGGGAGGAAGAGGAGGAGGAGGTGTGTGTGTGTGTGCGTGTGTGAAAACATACCTCCCTTTGGGCCGAGCCCGCGGTGCCCGCTCCGCTTTCAGTTTTCACCAGCGGGACGGGGTGCAGAGAGGGCGCCGAGGCCCCTGACGTGCCCTCCCCACGAGGTCTCAACCCCTCTTCTCTTGTGCGCCATTCTCTCTTCCCGCGCAATGATCACGCAACCGTCGGATCGAAGTTCCGAGCACAAAAGCGACGGGTAAGATGCTCTGGAGCAGGTGCTCTCCCCCCCCCCGCCAGTCACCAAAACCACTCCCATGGCACCGATGAGGCCTGCGAAGAAGATCTCCCCCATATACAAGCCGCCCCCTTCTTTCATGATGTCCATGACTTCCCACTCACCCTCCTGAAGATGGCACAGCGAAGATGGTGCATGAGGAGAGGCAGAGGGGGGAATGGTTGGTAGAAGAAGGCACTACAGGCAACGCGGAATGAGGCAGTGACATCTGTTTGAAACAACGATACGCGCATGTGTACTTGCGATGTGTCTCTCTATGAATATATATATATATATATATATATACATGTGTGTGTGCGTGTAAAATATGTGTATATCTCGATGCATATGTTTACCTCTTCTTACATTCTTACAAGCCCAGGGGGGGGGGAACCCGCCCCCCCCCCCCAAAGTGGACCCCCAGGATCACAGGTTTCTGGGCCCCCCGGACATGTTTGCCAAAGGTCCCTCGGCTCGTCCTGGACCTCCGAGGATGCCTAGACGGGTCCTGCCAGCAGGCCCCAAGCGATCAGAGCGGTGATCAAAGAGGCCGAAGAGAGACCCAAGACAGCACAAGAGCGCTCCAAGAAGGACCCGGATGGCCTCCAGAGGCCCCCAAGACGGCCCAGGAGGCCCTCAACAGGGTTCTCAGAATCGCCTCATTCCTTTAGGAAAACCTGCATTTTCAGCACATTCGCCGTTCGGGTCTTAGCAGCGTCCAAAACAGCCAAGAAGGCCTCCAGTATCGCCCCAAGACGGCCCCACAGACCCCCAAGAAAGCCTCTAGACGGCCTGGACGGCCCCAAGACTGCCCAAGGAAACAGCACATGAGCCAAAAAGAGGCCCAACAGGCCTTCACAAGGTCCCCAAGAGAAGCCCAAGAAGGCCATGGGAGGCCCCCAAAAAGGTCATGGGAGGCCAACAGAAGGGCCTCCGTGGCCCCCGTAAGGTCCCTAGAGGGCCCAAGAACCCCAACACAGCCCAAGATGACCCCAAGACGGATCGAGACGGCCCAAAGCTGGCTGGCCCACCAGGGCTCCAACAAAGCCCACACGGCGTTTTCCACCAAACTGACCCGAATCCCGGGCTTGCAACCACAAATCCCGGAAATCTGTTGCGAAGCCGGGATTGGCTGCATTCCCCAAAAATTACTTGCGTTCGCGTGCCCCGTTGCGACACGCTGCAACCCGCTACAAACATTATTCGCCGTCCCCCGAAAGCGCCCTCCTCCTCCTCGTCCTCCCCCTCCTCCTCCTCCTCCTCCTCTTCCTCCTCCTCCTCCTTCTCCTCCTCCTCCTCCAGCTGCCGCTCCACCACTCGCCCACCCCCACATCCGCTTCCTTTCCTCGCTCTCCGAGATTCCTTCCCTCCGATCCTTCGCCCTCCACCCGGCGCCTTTCGAACCCAAACCACCGCAGGGAAAGGGCCAATTTGCGAGGCCCCTAGGGATGGTGCGAACGACCAACATATGCAAATCCTCAAGGACCAAGGTGCATGGCGCGAAGCGCCAATGCACTCTTGCGTATATATACACACACGTCTCCGTCACCGCGCCGTCAGCACATGGAGGAGTGCCCCAGGGTTCATGCAGCCCTGAGACCTGAAACGCGGAGTGGCTCTGAGGTTCTTTAAGGTACACACCTCCACTTTCCCAGCCGTTCCTGCAAATTTCAAAGAATTCTTGGGAGCTCCTGGGAGTCTCCCAGAACTTTTGGGAGCTGCCAGGAACTCTCAAATGTTCAAGAACTGCTTCAAGTAACCCGAAAAACCCTCGGAAAGGCCTAACAAAACTTCACGACAGACTCACGTGGCCCCAGAACGCCCCAAGCCCGAGAGAGCCCCAAGAGCAACCCCAAGAGGGCCCCAAGTGGCAAAATCCGCCGCGTTCTCTTAAGAAGAAACATGTTAGCCAGCGCAGATCCCAAACAATGTGTTTCCAGCCATGTACGTTATGCAACCGATGTGGTACAATAGCGGTGGTGAAACCTACGTGGTGCCATCTATGTGGCGCAATATACGTGGCGCAACTTCACGTGGCGCATGCCACGTGGTGCAATACATGTTGAGCTACCTACGTTGTGTACGTAAATATGGCGCAACGTATGCGTTACTAATAATGTGGTGTTATCTATCTACGCGGCGCAACATATGCCGTGCACCCCACGTGGTTCAGAAATAATGTTGTACATTGTTTCGTGCGCAATATACGTGGTGCACTCCATGTTGTGCAACTTGCAGAATACACTCTACGTGGCTTTTTCCCCCGGGAGGGGGCGATCGCAACAGCTCTCGAGTCACCAATGCACTCCGTAGCGACACGCGGCAGAAATTGACCAGCGGTTTTATATACAACCCGGGTAAGCGTCACAAGATTCAGAGGGAAAGGGAAAGGAGCCACCTGAGATAATGATAGCCCCGGCGAGCGGTCGGGGAGGGGGCAGAAATTCGGGCAGTTATAACAACACGAATTTACACGAAAATGTATCGGCGCTGCGCCGGGAGCAAGGCGAGACGAGGGGAGAAGGAAGAAGAGGAGGGAGGGCAAACAAGGCAACGTGGTCATCGCCCGACTGCCTGACAGTCAAGGCACCCGCGTGACCTAACGGTGCGAACGCAAACGTTTCATTTACACAGTTTCGACTTCAATGAAGCGGAGGAGGAGGAAGGCAAGGGGAAACAGAACAGGCGGCGAAATCAGAACACGAACGTGGACGGCACCCCAAACCAAGGCGTAGGCGAAGGCCACCAAGCAGCCCGGACGAAGTTGTTGAACAGCATGCAGTAGAGCCGGAGGTAGAAGAAGCGGACCACGAGGGCCCAGAGGTGCTCGTAGAAGTTCGCGATGGTCACGCAAAGGGAGATGGCGCGCTCCAGAGGGAGGAGACTATGCGCCTGAGCGGCGAGTCCCTGCCCGCCGCCTCTGTCACGGCTTGAATCCACACGTCGCTCGTAACTGTCGCTCGCCCATGACGGGCGGCATCGGCGGCGATGAATGTCGCATAAAGACGCAAGGCTCTCAGCGCCAATTGAGAATTGTCTGAGACTCCACTGAGAGGGCGAAAATCCTGGAGCCGGTCCCCGAAGGGCGCCGCGGCCAATCGTAGCCGAATCCCAGCCAGTCTCGCCACCACTGGACAATTCGCGCACCGTTGCATGGAGCCCCGACCTGCTTGGCAACCAAAGCAGCAATGCGCTGCACGGAGGCTGGAGACCGCGCAGGTCCAATCGCCCAGCGCTGCCATGAGAGTAGCTGCCCACACGCACGGGGGCACCGCGGGGCCAAGACGCCGAAGAACAGCTTCAAGTCGCCCGACACGACGGCCAGGAAGAAGGGGAAGACACCATCTGCCCAGCCGGCGGCGAAAAAAATGTGGATCTCAATAACGGCCGGTTGCCTCATGAGCTGACTGAATTTCCTTTGCCACCGCCCCTTCGGGAGCGGGGTGGGCGAAGACCCCTGTAAGAAACTCCCCACGCTCATGCGCCCGGCGCCGGCCAAGTCGATGAGCTTCTGCTGCGCCTTCTGGAGGTCGGCGAAGAAGTTGCCGACCAGCCAACGGGAGCCAAGCAGCACTCTGGTCTGGAAATTGCAAGAGGGCCTGTCTCGCGGAGAGTCGCAGCAAACGACGGCGAACATGGATACCCCCGCAGCCCACGCCCTCCCACCGGTGGACCCGGCACTTGACGCCGAGAGCCGTGGCCCCCATGCTCGGCACATCCGCGGGGAAGCCCAGGCTGCGCAGATTCTGCACGAGCGCGGGGGGCGCCCAACCCCGAGCGCCAGGGAAGAGCGCGCTCGCCAGCCGCAACTCCTCCTGCCCCCAGATCGGCGGGAGCTCCTCCAGCTGCGCGAGGAACCCAGCCAGTGGGGGCACGCACATGCGTAGCGCAGTGAGCGTGGCGAGCGCGCCGCCTCCGATGCCTTTCCAGACCTGCGCCCTCACGTGCATCTCGCGGACGGCGCCCTCCCAAGCCTCTGCGCCGCGAGTGGGGCCAAGAAGGAAACCGAAGTATTTCGCGTGCCCGGCGATGCTGAAGGAACCCCAAGCACAAGCCTCTGCGGCGACGGCGGCCCGCATCTCGTCGCCCCCGTGCAGGGACAACGGCGCGATCACTGATTTTCTCGCGCGGAGCTTCAGGCGGGAGACGAACTCGCACTCGCCGAAGACGATCTCCAACCTCTTGACCTCTGGCAGCCGCTGCAGGACGAGCGCAATGTCATCCGCGCAAGCCCTGATCAGAACCTCGGGCAACAGGCGCCGGACCCGACGAAGCAAGACATATGAGATGATGGAAAAGAGGAGCGGCGATAGAGGGCATCCTTACCTGACCCCCGCAGCGACCTCGAACCCGGGGCCTGCGGCGCCACAGATAGACAGGACGCAGAACTTGTTGTCGCACAACACAGACACGAACCGACGCATCCAGAGCGGCCATCCTCGCGTCTCCTAGACGCGCTGGACGAACCCCTGGCTGAGGCTGGGGAAAGCCGCCTCGAAGTCCAGGAACACTGCCACAGGGCTGTCCTGGGAGAGGGTGGAGTCCAGCATGGCCTCCTCGACGCCCATTATATTGGCGATCATGGAGCGGCCGCTCAGAAACCCACGCTTCTCCAAAGAGATCCCAGGAGCCATGATAGGCTCGATGTGCAGACGCACGGCACTGTCCAAGATGCGGTTGTCGGCGTCGACAATACTGAGAGGGCGCAAGTTGCCAGAGGTGAACACCTCGGTGCCCTCCGGGGCAAAAAGACCATGAGGTTTTCATTGAAGGACGCCCATTCCGCCCTCATCCGGCCCAAGCCGTCGGGGGCAGACATCTCCTGGCACGCCGCCTCGAAGACGGCAGCCGCGAGAACCTTGATCTCTCGAGCCTTGAATGGGATGCCATCGCGGCCAGGCGCGCTATTCTTCGCGAGCAAGATGGCCTTCCGGAAGGTGCCCCGAGGAAACGCGGAGCGGAGGGGGTGGTCCTGGCAGTTCGCAGGGAGGCGCCGGGCATCCTCACGCAGCCTCGTCGCCATTATCCCTTCGCCCACATTTCGCCGCCGGAACACTCGTTCCCAATGCTCCCGGATCAGCCGCAGCATCTCCCGGGGTCGGTGGTGGCCTCGCCAGACGGCGTGTCTC